ATATCTTAAGTTCTTAATTCTACAAGACAAAATAAAAAAAAATCCTTAATTCCCCCTAGTGTGACACATTTTCTTTTAGCATGTCATCTTCCCTATTTTATCCACCACTCCTCAAAAAAGTATGAAATTAAACAAAAATTACTCTTTATAAAATCATCATTGCTCAGAAAACAATGATTTTTATAGTCTCCATTCTGTTTGGCTACAGAGCTATCAAATAGAAAACCAGAGCCCTCCTGCCACATCCTCTCTTTTAAAATTTGTTAATAGTTCTCTCTTATGTTTAATTATATACATTACTTATAACCAATAAAAAGTCAAGGTTTTCATCTATCAAATGACGTATTGTATAACATTATGTTCTGAACAGTTAAATGTCAATTTCACTCAGAGAAAGTTTCATGAGAAAGTTAACGACTAATTTCGATGAATTTGAAAAGACTCTTGTTACATAATTGGAAGCCAGAAACATTTTGAAAGGTAAGTGAATTTGTCTACTTTTAGAATGTTATTAGTCTATATTCTTTGGTGCATTATTTAATTAAATAAAAATTATTAAGTGCATTGCTATGATTAGTATAAAAAAATTAGAGTTATCTCTCTTCGACAATCGACAGTAAGAAAAAAAAAAGATTGGTTAAATATTTTATTTCTTGTTTATGTTTATTCTTTATGTATATTTATAACAGTAGCTAAAATGTAAAAATTGGGATCTGTTAAGATTAAATTAGGCAAAATAAATAATAATAATATAATAATAAAAATGTTTCAGGAGGCAGTGGGCAAGCAGCTCATAGTAGCTTGGGGGTAATGTAATTCGTCACAGTGTAACGTGAGCTGTACATTCCCCAAGGGATTTACAACTTATAATGGTGCAGATAGTACTCAGACGTGGTCCAAAGAGCAATAAAACAATAAAATTTAATTATAAATAGATGTATACTGTTACAAACTTAGATGTACTTAGGATAAACGAATGTAGTTTCATGTTTCAACTTGAAGTCAAAAAAGGGTAATTTAGATTTATTTCAATATTTTTTGGTGGTTACGAGGTCGTCAAATTAACAAATTACGTTTTGAGATAGGGTAAAGAAAATAACAGATAAACTATAAAGTGTTACTGAAAAAAAACGTTTGAAATGCATTTAGGAGGTTTTAGGGATTATACAAAGAAAAG